AACATAATATGAAAAAGTTTTAAATAGAGTATTTTTTGGATTATAGACTTATTCTAAATAGGTGTAATTAATACTGTAGAATTTTCATAAAATCAGATAATCTTCTCCTTCTTCATAAATATATTGAGAAGACTAAAAAAATTATCACAGATTTTATTTATAAGTAGTCCATATTTATAATACCGCATTGAGCGATAAGAATTTTCAATTATAGGAATTAAAATTAGAGTTTATAATCATAGTATCTATGTGTTTAAGTACGGTCGTGACGCTATAGTCCAAATTAAGTGTTATGCATGATGTAAAGTAATTATGTATTCAAATTTCTGAATAGCTATTAATTTATGTATTAAAGGCGGACATGTGCTGTTTGAGAGTGCCAAGAATTGTGTATAATGCCTGTTGCAGATTAGACAGAGGCGGAGCCCACTGTTCTTTCCATATAATAAAATAGAAAAATATCTTTTGTTTTGCAGGCGACAACAATTTACAATCACGGGGTTAAAAAACCAGGCTCTGTGCCATTTCACGAGCTCCTGATAAATGATGTTGTTTTTGTTATTTTAGTTACTTGATAAAGTTAGAAATGTTGGTTTATGACAAATTTGTAATTAATTCTCATTTCGTTAAAAAAAATCCACACTCAAATTCAATATTTTTCTTCAACCATATTACAAATACTTTATTAATATTTATTGGACAAAATGATCACCCCCCCTTAAAATATTGGTAAACTCTCAATTTGGCCCTTCAAACTAAAAAAATTATTTTCTATCTATAATTAAACATCTAACAAATTATAATATAACAATGTTTTTTAACAATCTAAAAAATTATTTTCTAAATACATAAAAAGGGTTAAACGGTAAAATTTGTGAAATAATGTAGTTATCATTATTTTTTGTTTGGAAAGAAGGAGATAAATTGATAAAAATTCATAAAGAAATACAAAAAATTATAGTTATGTCATTAATTTGTTAAATACTTGGTTGTAAACTCACAAAATGATCATATTAAAATAATAAATATAGTTTGACATGCAAAACGGATCGATTGATACTTTAAAGAGCAGCTTGAGAGTTCACCAATAATTTAAAATAAAAATAATTATTTTGTCCACATTTATTTTCGGAGAGAAATTACCTTCATCAAAAAATGTTCAGTGAATATTTACTTCTCCTAATCAATAGAGAGTGGAGAGTCCACCACTCTTTTTGAGGTTTTATTTAATGGACGAGTCCAGCACTCCTTTTGGTGTTCACATTTCCTCTTATTATAGGGTGGGGACACAAATGCATTTAATAGACTAGTGCAATGTCTCATTTTGTGCACGACAAAACCTTAAGTAGAGTAGGTTCAATGTCCCAAAATAGAAAACAAAAGAAGGCGAAATCAAAGTCTTCCTCCTGCTCTTTATGGGAAAGTTTGGTGGACTTTAGTTAGGGTGCGTGATTGGAACAGCTCACCTCCAAATTTACTTCATTTTCACATCAATAAATAGCCATAGCTCTCGTTTGCCCCTCCCTTTTGGGTAAAGATTCTCTACATTCTTGAATATTGTAGAGATTCTTTACAATAAGTTGGATCTATTAACAACATTAGCTTGTTAGTGGATACTACAATTAAAAGATCTTTTTCTATAAAAAAAACATCATTCATGTGGTCCATGAAATGGAAAGATATGATTAATGAATTGTAGAGCCTCTTTACAACCAAGAATGTAGAGCATCTCTATCCATTTTTTGAGTACCAAGTCCAGCAGCAATCGCGTTTTGCAGCTAGCGCTCTCACTCGCGTGGCTGCTGGGACATGTGTCCCCAAGCCTAAGTCCTAACCTAACCCCAACCCTAATCCGAAACACAATATATCTAGTTTTCACGCACTCATATTGAGCAAGTGTCTTATGGGTAGTCGCGGAAGGTAACTATTCTTAGACTTCCTCTTGATTGGTTCATGTGCTCTCTCACCCCATGGCAATTTGATTTTAGGCCTTCTTATAGCCTAGTTAAAATTGTAAAGATACAAGTTATTTGCTCGTAGAGTCGCCATATATACAACTAGAATGAAAATAACTATTTTAGAAATAAAAACATATCATATTGTATTAAAATAGCAACCCGTGTGTATCCAATTTTAGAAGTGGCTATATGAATCATATTCGTACATTTAGTATTAATTGTTCATCACTATTTATCTGTATCTTTTTTTTTTTAAATGGTTCAGATCAAATTCTTTCAAGCTTACCTTTAGTCTTAACTAACAACAATAAAACTAATAATTAACCGTTAGAGAAGTGAGAGAGATGCCTAAGAAAACTTAATTAAAAATTACTAAAAAAAAATAGTTAACTAAGCGAAGTAGATAGTCCTGAACAGAACTAGAGCAAGAATTAGGATTTATGAACTTTGTGTTGTTGTCAGAAGACATTACAAAAAAATTTCCCCACTGTTTACAAGAGTGTCCTAAACAGGTAAGCCCAAAATGTCTACCATAAATCGCAAAAAGTCCCGGGTTGGAATTTGAGGCCCAACAGATTAGGACCAGAATCTTGACTATAATTCAGTTCTAACCAAGGTCCATATCATAGCCAGATCCGAGTCAGATATAAAGATCCACTGTGTATTTAAAAACCATCAATTATGGGCCCAATCAAATTAGAGACCGAAAAATTCCTCTCAAGAACCCAAAATATGGGACCAATAGGGGGGACAAGTGAAGTGTCCCACTCCTATTAGATAATAAGTTGGCCATCATTAATGGTGAGCAACTCATTATCCAATAGGAGGGGGCACCTCACTTGTCCCCCCCTATTGGTCCCATATTTTGGGTCCCTGTAGCAAAACTCAAATTCTCGTGCAGATGATCAACGGAAAAGAAATTATTGGGATGATTATTGCTGTACAAATTGAGTATCACCTTTCCTGAGTCAGAAAAATAAAATAATAAATAAATAAGTTTCTGCCCTTGTTGCGTGCAAAATCTTTCGGCCTGAAAAAGAACATAGTGCCGAAACCATGTCATTCTCATGTATTTGGATTTATCTTTGCATATTTCAAATATTCCATCTCCCGGCTCGGTTTGTTTTATCTTTGTAGTAGCTGGTGCAATAATCTATATATCATTCCATAGGCGTTCTGATAAAACTTAATTTGATTAGGATTCTACGGAGCATTAGAATACAGTACATACACCACAAAGGGATAACGTCCTCCAATTCTCTAATTATAGTATTATTTTTGTATCTTTAGATGTTATCCATGCTCCGATACAATAAAAAATTAAGTCTTTTTCATTGAGACAAACAGACTGTTTGAATATTATTTACTGAGCAGTACGTATGCTATAGTTGAAGAATGCAATGGACAAAGTACATTTTCTAAAGTGGAAGCTGTCGGTCAACTTCCTAAGATGCGCGCCAACAACGTTACGAAAAATTTCACATGCTCATTCGTTTGTATCGCTCTGCGTACGCTACAGCTATCATCGACATTAAATGTCATTTTGTGCTCTCCAACTCCAAGAGCCAGATTTTTTCTTATAAATAGTCTTCAATTCTTGTTACTATCACCAAATAAAGTGAATAGTAAGTTGATTTATGAATGTGAGGTGAGGTTTAGAATGTGATCAAGTACTTGAAGAGAGGCTTAATAATAGCGCGATGGTAGTAAAATCATGTTATTAGATTATAATTTCCATCACATATATTCACTATTATTTATTAGTAAGTTGATTTATGCTTAACGATACAGGTGTCGTAACCAGCAGGTTTGAGCTCGCGCGAGTTGAATCTATCTGCTACCTTGAAGATTCTTTTTCAACTCCTGCAGGTGAGTACGTATATGTATTATATGTACAATTTACTTTTGGTATTACTCGGTGATTTGCTCATAAAATTTCCCAGAAATGGAAGCATCAGTATCTCAAATACCAGGAGGAGGATCCCTGGAGGCCGACAACGAAGACAAATATACAAGAGACGGAACCACAGACTTCAGAGGAAACCCTGCAGTAAAAGAGAGCACAGGAAGATGGAGAGCCTGCCCCTACATTCTTGGTACAGTCAATGTTATTAGAGCCACCTTGATTTACTTTGCATCATTCTCACTATCAAGCTTATCGTTTCCTCTCCAGCAAATGAGTGTTGTGAAAGATTGGCATTTTATGGGTTGAGCACCAATCTTATAAGTTACATGGAGGATATCCTGAATCAAGGCAATGCTACAGCATCCAACAATGTCACAAACTGGTCAGGCGCTTGCTATATCACGCCACTTCTTGGAGCTTTTATCGCTGATTCTTATCTTGGACGATTCTGGTCAATTGCCAGTTTCATGATCATCTACATCATCGTAAGAAATATCTCTGTAATCTATCTATAATTGCTGAGTTCACAGGGATTTTTCAGCAATTTTCGGTTCGATGACAGGGATTGACACTTTTAACCATGTCTGCCTCTATCAAAGGACTCAAACCTTCATGCCATGATAATGAATGTCACTCAACTGCACCACAAAATGCAGTAGTTTTCCTTGCACTCTATCTCATTGCTCTCGGCACTGGAGGGATCAAGCCTTGTGTTTCTTCTTTCGGTGCAGACCAATTCGACGAATCTGATGAATCTGAGAAAAAAAGCAAGAGCTCCTTCTTCAATTGGTTCTACTTCTCAATCAAGATAGGATCTCTTGTTGCTTCTTCTGTACTTGTTTGGGTGCAGACTAATAAAGGATGGGACTGGGGGTTTGGGATTCCTGCAGTGGTAATGGTTATTGCTGTTGTGAGCTTTGTCCTTGGATCTCCATTGTATCGGCATCAGAAAGCAGGTGGGAGCCCCCTCACAAGGATTGCTCAGGTTCTAGTTGCATCGATAAAACAATATCGAGAAAATGTTCCTGATGACAAGTCTCTGTTGTATGAGGTCACTGACAAGGAATCTGCAATAGAAGGAAGTCGTAAGCTTGAGCATACAGAAAAGTTGAAGTAAGTATATTGATAAAAATTCATTCTTCGTATGATGGGTTGTTTGTTCGTCAGAAAATTGAGTTGCAACATCAAATGTTGTAGTCAAATTTCTATTTCTAGTGTCTTGTTAGCAACATGATAGTTAAAAATGAGAATTGACTGCAACAAATGTTGCAATTCCTTCTGTTAAATCCAATTTTTTAAAAAATACAACATCATGAATTTAAGGAACTCATAAAATGCAAGTCATTTCACAATTGCATCTAAACAAACACTTGAACTCATAAAATGCAAGTCATTTCACAACTGCATCTAAACAAACACTTGGGCTGCAATTGAAATACGTTTTTTCTGCAATAAATACAGACCCAACAACTTCTGTAACTAACCAAACACTGGATTTTATAATAAATTGAAAAAGGAAGACGGGGTGGCCCAGTGCAAGGCTCGCACCATTTAAAAAAATCATTTATTATAACAAAATTACAAACACCTAATCGACAGATTTGAATTTAATTTCTCACAACAAATATTGTATGAAATACTTCCTACATGCAACATTTGTTACATTTACGATATATTTCCTGGTCAGGTTCCTCGACAAGGCTGCAATTGAGACTGAGAAGGACAAGATCAACAGCCAACCAAGTCCATGGAGGCTATGCACAGTCACTCAGGTCGAAGAACTGAAAAGCATCATTTATCTTCTACCAATATGGGCCACTGGAGTGGTCTTCTCCACAGTCTACAGCCAAATGAGCACTGTGTTCGTCCTCCAAGGCAAGAAGATGGAACGCCATGTGGGACCTCACTTCCAAATTCCTGCAGCATCTCTTTCAATGATGAACACCATCAGTGTCATCATATTGGTTCCGGTCTATGACAAAATTATCGTTCCTATAGCACGTAAATTCACTGGAAATGAACGAGGATTCACCCAGCTGACTCGAATGGGCATTGGCCTTGTCATCTCCATTATTGCAATGCTAGCAGCTGGCATTGTGGAAGCTATCAGGCTTCGTATTGTTGCAAGAGATAATTTATATGATTCTAAAGATTTTGTGCCTATGTCAATTTTCTGGCAAGCTCCTCAGTACTTCATTGTTGGAACTGCAGAGGTTTTTGCCTTTATCGGGCAAATGGAGTTTTATTATGACCAAGCGCCGGATGCAATGAGGAGCATGTGCTCAGCGCTGGCTTTGACTACTGATGCACTTGGGAATTATCTTAGCACGCTGCTGGTAACAGTTGTTACTAGCATTACTGCAAGAAATGGGAAGCTTGGTTGGTTTCCTGATGATTTGAATAGGGGCCACCTTGACTACTTCTTCTGGCTTCTTGCCGTACTCAGCCTCTTGAACTTTGGGGTCTACCTCCTGATTGCAAAGTGGTACACCTATAAGAAAACAACCTAGGATTGATGATAGAGGGAATCTAAGTCGCATGGAAACGGGCACGGGTACTGGTACGGGTACGGGACACGGCAAAACTGTAAAATGTAGGGTACGGGGACACGACTATATATATATATATATATATATAGAGAGAGAGAGAGAGAGAGAGAGAGAGAGAGAATTAATATTGTACATAAGATAATTTTTTTCCCCTTCATGTGTCATTAGAATTAAAATTCCCATCACATTTTTGAGTTTCTTTTATCATATTGATTATCTTGAATTGTAAACTACTCATTTTTTTTACTAGACATCTAAACGACCCATTAACTATATAGTTTTAAACTTGGGTATGGACTGAAACGAATCCGACCCGTGTCTCATTAGTTTCAAAAGACGGATGTGAAGTGTAAGCTCTACGTCCAGGAAGTCTTTGACAAGTGTTTTAAATTAACACATATATCATATAATTGAGTACATGTTGTAATAAATGCATGCATATATTCAAGAAGTGTCCATGAAGTTTGGGTACGGTAAAGTGTCGGGTACATGTCCGGTATGGGTACGGCTTCATTATAGAAGTACCCGGATAACATAGGAGGGAATATAGCTCAAAAATCAAGTTTTCAGCAATTGTGCTAGATACATGTTCGTTCTACTTGCACTTGCATGTAGCTTATGAAACTGTATGAATACTTCAACGGAAAGGTTTCACAGTTGAAGGAATCAATCCTTATCACTTATTTCTGTCAATTTAAACTGCTGTATCAGGATTTGTTTAGAATTTTAAAAACGACAAGAGTTTGATGATTTATTTTAGGATTTGTTTGACTCAATTGCATACTTATTGATTGGAGAAGCCAAATGTACACTTTCAGACATATAAAATCTTAAAGTATAGTAGTATAAATAATTCTGAATCAAAGTTTTTGCAGCAAGATATTGCAACAAATCTCTTAAAATTTCTTCCACTACGATAAAACTCTCAAGTAATGGTGAGGTAAACAATCCTAGAAATGAAAATAACTCAAGCCAAAACATAAGATTAGGGGGAAGCACAACTGTTAGAGAAATTCCAAAGGAGAATGCAGTCTCGGAAGTTAAGAGATACGTTTATATCTTGGGTTGATGTCTGTGATAAGCCATCATCACAGCGTATGCCATTTTTTCCATTAAAGAGGTTGATTGTGGAAGTCACATTGTTCAGATTTGCAGGTGTGCTTGCCCCGATCATTTACAAGTGGAGGCTATCAAATAATTGCCAAGGCAAGAGATATAAGAGATGATTGAACAGAAAAGAAGATAATAACTTTTATTCATTTCAGGAAGATGGATAAGTTTGCTGACGGCTAAGCTGTTGTAACTCCAGCACTAGAGATAAAAGTAAGATAGAATGTTGCTTGGTAAAATAAACCACAGTGAAATCTAGAACCTGTGCTCTGATACATCCCAGCTATCTTTGCTTTTGCATCAGAGGTTTATCTTGGCAATACCTCTTCCACTGCCAAGACTGTGTAACTGAATTACACGTTCTGATGCAGCAAGTGATAGAGACTTCTTGTTTTATTTCAGCAATGGTTACAATATAAAAGAGGGAGGACCCAAGACTGAGTTAAATACGCTTGTAAATTGCAAATCTGGTAAATTGATTCCTATTTAAATTACAAGATTTAATGCAAACAATTTGACTAGATAGAATTTGCACGGAGAAATACATAATCTGCCTTGCAATAAAGGGAAGAGTGATGTGACCCTTGAATTTCCTTTGTGGTCAATACCAGATGGACATCAGAAACGAAGGTAATTTTGCCCCTCTCTGTCTCTCTCGGTTTATATTACGTGTATGAATCGATGGCATAAATATAACATCTGTGTATAAGCCAGAGATTCAGATGAAAAAATCACAGATTATCAAGATGAATTAATCAAATAGATGGAATGTAAACAGCATTTCACAAATGACATGTAGGTAAATATGTCTACTGTAAACCATGCACATGAATCAACAGTGTGTATGCAAATGCAACATCTATATACAAGCCGAAGCTTGAGACGATAAAATCATGCATTATCACAATAGATAGTCAAATAAATAGAAGAGTTAAGAGCATTACATATTACATCCAAGTAAGTGTATGCATGATACGGGCAACCAACACATTACAACCCCCAAGACCTGACTTTAAAATTTGTGCCGCGCATTTCATCAAACAGGTTGAGGACATTGTGCATTTTAGAAGTTAGGAGAGATTACAATATTAATGGGAGTTGTTGAAGAATACAAAGGTATACGCACGACGGTGTCGATGGAGAGGGCGAACGGAGCGGCAACGGCGGAGGAGGTAGGAGCGTATTGGCGGTCGTCGGTGGTGAGAGTTTGGAGGTGGGAGAGAGCGGTGACGGAATCTCTTAGCTTTGTAAGTTTGATGAGGTCCTAGAGGTGACGAGATCTCTGAGGCTCGCCGCCGGTAGTTTCATCCGTGAGTTTCGTTTCGTCTGTTTTCTGTTCGCTACTGAGGTTGTATTGCTGTAGGTAGGGGTGCATTCGGTTCGGATATGACCCTTATCATAACCATAACCACTTTCTGAAAACGGATACGGATACAGTTCGAATATTTATCGGTAAGAAAAAAACATTACCATATCCGCATTAAACGGAAACGGATACGGTTCGGATATTAGACGTTCGGATATGGTTCGGATACAGATACTAATCGGATATTTGGGAAATAGATATGAATAGGATATGACAAAAAATACATATGATTTTAATAACTGGCAAAGTAATACAAGTAAGACAAGTTACCCCAAGACTTTGTTGCTATTCTGTATGACAAACCTCAAAACACCATAACAGACCCTAAACAAAATATAAAAAATATTGAATACCATAACTAAAATGTGATAATCAATAACTACAACTGACCTCACAAACTACAATCCCCCCCTCCTTTTCTCAGATTTTTCCTCTGTTTTATTAGAAGACTCTTCTAAGGTTCAATGACCGGTTCAACGGGGGTTCGACCGTGGCTTCTTTATTAGAAGCTTGAACCGACGGATTAGACGACATGATTCTAATTCCTATTCAAATTTATAAACTTAATCAAACAGAAAAATATATAATGATGCAAATTACAATTATATATGCAACTAAAAACAACTAGAACTAATAGGTTAGGGATTTTTATCAAATAAATTAGGATTTTTCAATTCGGTCAACAAATGCTAAAAATTAGGGCTTTTATCAACAATTAGAATTCACATTAGTGATATACCAAATTGAGGAGGTAACGAGGAGGTCGGACGTAGTTGTCGCGTCGTCGATGGTCGTCGTCGCGTCGATCAAGATGAGGCGGCCGCGGACTTCTTGAAGAGGCGGAGGCGGAGCTCGGAGGCGGAGGCGGAGCTCGGGCCGGGCGCACGCAGCGGCGTCCGGTCCGAATGGCGGAGATCGGAGGCGGAGCCTCGGGGGCGCGGGGCGGGCGCGGAAGCAGAGCTCGAGGCGGTGAACGCAGGACGCGGAGGCGGAGGGTGGCGGGACCGCCGGACACGGCGGCGGAGGCGGAGCAGGGAGGACGGCGGCGGCTTGGGAGTGACTGGTGGAGGCTGGGTGAGTTTGGGTGGGCGCTTGGAAAGCATTTAAAACTTAGGGTTTGAGAATTTGGGTCGGGTTGCCGATATATGTTATAGACTAGACCAAATACTAACCCAATACAAGTATTATATATAGCTCATTTTAAATATTTCGATATCGGTAGCTCATTTTACCGCAGGGTTTTAATTTTTTCCTACCGTATCGCTTTCTAAACGGATACGGTTACAGTCGGTCCAGATAAATCCGAACCATTTTGCACCCCTAACTGTAGGTATATATCCACCTACGATCTAAAATGGTATATATCCACCTACGATCTGAAATGCTGTGGTGAGGGATTATTGCAGATAAACCCCTCTGGGCATTTACAATTGCGGTAATGGGTTGTAAAAACCCAAAAATTTTGAATTGATAATAAATATTATATTTCACAAAATTTTATAAATTCAAGTTATTTAATTATGATTAGGATAATATAACTAATATGTTTGTTAAGCGGATAATTTGCTAATGGAAGTTTGTTAGGGGTTCTTTTTGTGAATGTGCTCCTAATAAAATAAACGTGTCCCCATTCCTACTCTCCGCAGCCAAAAAAGAAAAAGAGTGACCGTAGTTGCGACGAAAGCAAAAAATAATAATATTTTAATGCCCGGTTTTGATATGACAATTTTGTTTTTGCCCTCTGGATAGAGAGTGGATGGCTGAGAATTTTTCTTCCATCTTATCGGAGTAAGCATCTTCTTGATATTTTGATCTATTATCAATTATTACTAATTTTTTATTGAAAAATAATAATAATTAAGAAGAATACTCTTGTGATATATGCTGGATGAGATGGATTACAGTTTAGATTAGGATTTCATACTAGTCTAATGTACGATCGTGACGTTATAGTTCGAAGTGTTATGCACGATGCAGAGTAATTCTGCATTCAAATTTCTGGTAAATAATGTTGTTTTTGTTGCTGTATTATTTTAGTGGCTTGATAAAGTTATAAATGCTGGTTTATGACAAATTTGCAATTCTCGTTTCGTTAAAAGAATCCCACACTCAAATTCGATATTTTTCTTCAACCATATTACAAACAGTTTATTAATATTTTTATTGGTCAAAAATGATCACTCCCATTATCGAGTGGGGACACACTGCATCCAACAGGCTAGTGCCAAACTGCCATGTCTCATTTTGTGCCCGACACAACCTTAAGTTGAGCAGGTTCAATGTCCCAAAATGGAAAAAAAAAGAAGGCGAAATCAAAGTCTTCCTCCTGCTCTTTAATGGAGACCGAAGGTTGGCGGACTCTATAGTTAGGGTGCATGATTGGAACAGCTCACCTCCAAATTTCACACCAATAAATAGCCATAGCTCTCGTAATTGAAGGAATAACACCAGCAGGTTTGAGCTCGAGCGAGTTGAACCTATCTGCTACCTTGAAGATTCTTCTTCACCTCCAGCATGTGAGTAGTACGTATATGTATAATGTATTATATGTTAAGTTCATATATTCAAGAACTTGAAAATTCCCTCCCCGTCGATCTCTTGCCTCTCTTGTGAGAGGTAGCTTATAAACTCGTATATATATATCCTTATTTTTCATTTTGGAAGTCATTCAGCTTGATATAGTTTTACATATCTTGACTTATTCATTGTTGAAAAAGAAAAATGAAATGGTCAAGCTGTGTGTAGTGTACCAAGCAATATAGATTTTAAATTATTCATTTAGAGATCATGATTATGAATAAGATTTGCCCAATTGGTTTCATGAATTGACACTTACTTGTTCTTTACTATCATCAGTCACTAGCAGCTCTTCACCCTGTAAAAACAAGCCATGATGCAACTTGTAAAAGCTCCGTGCCTCTGTTATTGTTTGGTTAGTTACTGACTATATTTCGCAAAACTAGGAAGAGCATCGCTGTAGGAAGCAGCTAAAGATTAAATATGTACTAAGTTCTTTCCTTCATAGATCATGAATATCACTTGTGTAATTGATTTATTAGTGAATTGTACTAAGTTCACCATGCAAAACAGGCAAAGCTGCTATTGCAAGTGCTCTGTGACTGTTGCGGTGTACAATTTACTTTTGGTATTATTTGGTGATTTGCTCATAAAATTTCCCAGAAATAGGAGCATCAGTATCTCAAATACCAGGAGGAGGATCCATGGAGGCCGACAACGAAGACAAATATACAAGAGACGGAACCACAGACTTCAGAGGAAACCCTGCAGTAAAACAGAGCACAGGAGGATGGAGAGCCTGCCCCTTCATTCTTGGTACAGTCAATATTATTAGAGCCACCTTGATTTATGTTGCATCATTCTCACTATCAAGCTTATCGTTTCCTCTCCAGCAAATGAGTGTTGTGAAAGATTGGCATTTTATGGGTTGAGCACAAATCTTATAAGTTATATGGTGGATATCCTGAATCAAGGCAATGCTACAGCATCCAACAATGTCACAAACTGGTCAGGCGCTTGCTATCTCACGCCACTTCTTGGAGCTTTTATCGCTGATTCTTATCTTGGACGATTCTGGACAATTGCCAGTTTCATGATCATCTACATCATCGTAAGAAATATCTCTGTAATCTATCTATAATTGCTTTTCACAGGGATTTCTCAGCAATTTTCGGTTTGATCACAGGGATTGACACTTTTAACCATGTCTGCCTCTATCAAAGGACTCAAACCTTCATGCTATGATAATGAATGTCACCCAAGTGCACCACAAACCGCAGTAGTTTTCCTTGCACTCTATCTCATTGCTCTCGGCACTGGAGGGATCAAGCCTTGTGTTTCTTCTTTCGGTGCAGACCAATTCGACGAATCTGATGAATCTGAGAAAAAAAGCAAGAGCTCCTTCTTCAATTGGTTCTACTTCTCAATCAAGATAGGATCTCTTGTTGCTTCTTCTGTACTTGTTTGGGTGCAGACTAATAAAGGATGGGACTGGGGGTTTGGGATTCCTGCAGTGGTAATGGCTGTACTTGTTTGGGTGCAGACTAATAAAGGATGGGACTGGGGGTTTGGGATTCCTGCAGTGGTAATGGCTATTGCAGTTGTGAGCTTCTTCCTTGGATCTCCATTGTATCGGCATCAGAAAGCAGGTGGGAGCCCCCTCACAAGGATTGCTCAGGTTCTAGTTGCATCGATAAAAAAATATCGAGAAAATGTTCCTGATGACAAGTCTCTGTTGTATGAGGTCACTGACAAGGAATCTGCAATAGAAGGAAGTAGTAAGCTTGGGCATACAAAAAAGTTGAAGTAAGTATAATGATAATAATTCATTCTTCGTATAATGGGTTGTTTGTTCGACAGAAAATTGAGTTGCAACATCAAATGTTGTAGTCAAATTTCTATTTCTAGTGTCTTGTTAGAACATGATAGTTAAAAATGAGAATTGACTGCAACAAATGTTGCAATTCCTTGCGTTAAATCCAATTTTTTAAAAAATACAACATCATGAATTTAAGGAACTCATAAAATGCAAGTCATTTCACAATTGCATCTAAACAAACACTTGAACTCATAAAATGCAAGTCATTTCACAACTGCATCTAAACAAACACTTGGGCTGCAATTGAAATACGTTTTTTCTGCAACAAATACAGACCCAACAACTTCTGTAACTAACCAAACACTGGATTTTATAATAAATTGAAAAAGGAAGACGGGGTGGCCCAGTGCAAGGCTCGCACCATTTAAAAAAATCATTTATTATAACAAAATTACAAACACCTAATCGACAGATTTGAATTTAATTTCTCACAACAAATATTGTATGAAATACTTCCTACATGCAACATTTGTTACATTTACGATATATTTCCTGGTCAGGTTCCTCGACAAGGCTGCAATTGAGACTGAGAAGGACAAGATCAACACCCAACCAAGTCCATGGAGGCTATGCACAGTCACTCAGGTCGAAGAACTGAAAAGCATCATTTATCTTCTACCAATATGGGCCACTGGAGTGGTCTTCTCCACAGTCTACAGCCAAATGAGCACTGTGTTCGTCCTCCAAGGCAAGAAGATGGAACGCCATGTGGGACCTCACTTCCAAATTCCTGCAGCATCTCTTTCAGTGATGAACACACTCAGTGTCATCATATTGGTTCCGGTCTATGACAAAATTATCGTTCCTATAGCACGTAAATTCACTGGAAATGAACGAGGATTCACCCAGCTGACTCGAATGGGCATTGGCCTTGTCATCTCCATTATTGCAATGCTAGCAGCTGGCATTGTGGAAGTTATCAGGCTTCGTATTGTTGCAAGAGATAACTTATATGATTCTAAAGACATTGTGCCTATGTCAATTTTCTGGCAAGCTCCTCAGTACTTCATTGTTGGAACTGCAGAGCTTTTTACCTTTGTGGGGCAAATGGAGTTTTATTATGGCCAAGCGCCGGATGCAATGAGGAGCATGTGCTCAGCGCTGGCTTTGACTACTGATGCACTTGGGAATTATCTTAGCACGCTGCTGGTAACAGTTGTTACTCACGTTACTACAAGAAATGGGAAGCTTGGGTGGATTCCTGATAATTTGAATAGGGGCCACCTTGACTACTTCTTCTGGCTTCTTGCCATACTCAGCCTCTTGAACTTTGGGGTCTACCTCCTGGTTGCAAAGTGGTACACCTATAAGAAAACAACCTAGGATTGATGACATAGGGAAATATAGCTCAAAATCAAGTTTTTAGCAGTTGTGCTAGATACATGTTCGTTCTACTTGCACTTGCATGTAGTTTATGAAACTGTACGAATACTTCAACGGAAAGGTTTCACAGTTGAAGGATTCAATCCTTATCACTTATTTCTGTCAATTTATACTGCCGTATCAGGATTTGTTTAGAATTTTTAAAAAGAGCAAGAGGTTGATGATTTATTTTAGGATTTGTTTGACTCAATTGCATACTTATTGGTTGGAGAAGCCAAATGTACACCTTCAGGACATATAAATCTTAAAGTATAGTAGTATAAATAATTCTGAATCAAAATTTTTGCAGCAAGATATTGCAACAAATCTCTTAAAATTTCTTCCACTATGATAAAACTCCAAGTAATGGTGAGGTAAACAATCCTAGAAATGAAACCAACTCAAGCCAAAGCATAAGATTATGGGGAAGCACAGCTGTTAGTGAAATTCCAAAGGAGAATGCAGTCTCGGAAGTTAAGAGATACGTTTATATCTTGGGTTGACGTCTGTGATAAGCCATCATCACAGCGGATGCCATTTTTTCCATTAAAGAGGTTGATTGTGGAAGTCACATTGTTGTTCAGATTTGCGGGTGTGCTTGCCTCAATCATTTACAAGTGGAGCCTATCAAATAATTGCCAAGGCGAGAGATATAAGAGATGATTGAACAGAAAAGAAGATAATAACTTTTCTTCATTTCAGGAAGGTGGATAAGTTTGCTGACGGCTAAGCTGTTGTAACTCCAGCACTAGAGATACAAGTAAGATAGAATGTTGCTTGGTAAAATAAACCACAGTGAAATCTAGAACCTGTGCTCTGATACATCCCAGCTATCTTTGCTTTTGCATCAGAGGTTTATCTTGGCAATACCTCTTCCACTGCCAAGACTGTGTAACTGAATTACACGTTCTGATGCAGCAAGTGATAGAGACTTCTTGTTTTCTTTCAGCAATGGTTATAATATGAAAGAGGGAGGACCCAAGACCGAGTTAAATACGCTTGTAAATTGCAAATCTGGTAAATTGATAAATATTTAAATTACAAGATTTTATGCAAACAATTTGACTAGATAGAATTTGCACGGAGAAATACATAATCTGCCTTGCAATAAAGGGAAGAGTGATGTGACCCTTGAATTTCCTTCGTGGTCAATACCAGATGGACATCAGAAACGAAGGTAATTTTGCCCCTCTCTGCCTCTCTCGGTTTATATTACGTGTATGAATCGATGACATAAATATAACATCTGTGTATAAGCCAGAGATTCAGATGAAAAAAATCAGGGAAAATTTGCAAAATAGACCATTTTTATGAAATATATAGCGAAATAGACCACTTTGAAAAATAATTAGCAAAATAGACCTCTTTTGAAAAAAAGAGGTCGATTTTAAAAAACAAGGCTCAAAAAACATACGGGACTACTAGTCCCGTATGTTTAGAGCCAACTAATCACGGATTAGTGATTCAGAAAACATACGGGACTAGTAGTCCCGTATGTTTTCTGAATAGAAAATTTCACTAATCCGTGATTAAAACATACGGGACTACTAGTCCCGTATGTTTTCTGAACTGTTTTGCAAAATAGACCTCTTTTTGGCCTGTTGGCCAAAAGAGGTCTATTTTGCTAATTATTTAGCAAAACGGTCTATTTTGCTAAATAATTAGCAAAAACGGTCTATTTTGCAATTTTTCCCAAAAAATCACAGATTATCGAGATGAATTAATCAAATAGATGGAATGTAAACAGCATTTTTTCACAAATGACATGTACGTAAATATGTCTCTCACTGAAAACCAGGCGCATGAATCAACAGTGTGTATGCAAATGCAACACCTATACACAAGCCGAAGCTTGAGACGATAAAATCATGCATTATAACAATAGATAGTCAAATAAATAGAAGAGTTAAGAGCATTACATATTACATCCAAGTAAGTGTATGCATGATACGGGCAACCAACACATTACAACCCCCAAGACCCGACTTTGAAATTTTTGCCGCGCATTTCATCAAACAGGTTGAGGACGCTGTGCATTTTAGAAGTTAGGAGAGATTGCAATATTAATGGGAGTTGTTGAAGAATACAAAGTTATACGCACGACGGTGTCGACGGAGAGGGCGAACGGAGCGGCGACGCTCGGGGGAGGTCGGAGGCGTATCGGCGGTCGTCGGTGGTGAGAGTTTGGAGGTGGGAGAGAGCTGTGACGGGATCTCTTAGCTTTGTAAGTTTGATGAGGTGCAGGAGGTGACGGGATCTCTTGAGGCTCGCCGCCGGTAGTTTCATCCGTGAGTTTCGTTTCGTCTCGTCTGTTTTCTGTTCGCTACTGAGGTTTCATCGCTGTAGCCTGTAGGTACCCCACCTACGATTTGAAAAGCTGCCGTGATGGATTATTGCACATAAGCCCCTCTGGGCTTTTACAATTGCGGGAATGGATTATTGCGGATAAGCCCCTTTGGGTTTTTGGTTGCAATTGCATAGATGACAACATTGATAGTTAAATTCCTACTCGATAACAGTTCTATCTTCCCTGGACGAAACTACTTTAGGAGGATTGGAAAATTTGGTACCCAAACAATCCATATTTATTGATTTTAATAGAGGAGATATGCTTTCTAGTGTTAATTTAAAATTTCTTTTTTCCTTTCTTTCTTTGTTTTTCTTTTGAGATCGATAAGCTTTGAAGCACAGCTCCCGCGCGCGCTTTCATTTATATACTAATAAAAAGACGTGACATGGCGTAAGCCTCTATACAGTTCTAGCTCTTGGGGTTACTGTATCTCGAAACTAGGATACATCAGTTATGGATATATAATTCTTAGTCACATTTTGTCTCGCGCTCGTTTTAGTTCTTTATTAGGGGACTCGAGCCTTTCTCACTGAAAAGACTATCTACGTGAGATTTAAAGCAAAGTTAAAGCTCATACACATGACATAAAAAGCTTAAATGACAAAAGGAAAAATATTAGTCTGACCCACCGAATCCCCCATTAATTAAACAAAGAAAGAAATCCCGAGGCAAATATGAACCCCCAACACGCTTAATTTGAAGCTCTTGCATGCCCAGACAGTAAAATCTCCTTTATATCTTCCTCTGTAGGCATACTCTTTTTTATTCATTTTAGGCTCAAAGCCAAGTAAGACAACGAAAGGCTAATCAGAATCACCTACTATTTAATTAGGCATCAACGGCATTCATCTTCCAGTCTATATAAAGCACGCACGCACACCTACCGCAGAACTACTTTGTTTTAAGAAATGCATACGCATCGTCTTTTTCGCCCTTTTTCACATCGTCTTTGTTTTAAAACTACATGTGCATTCGAAAGTAGTCCCTAAACATACGTAACTTAACATGAACTGGGGCTTACAAATTAATATATTTATCGAACGATATGGCGAAATATTAAGTAAGATGTGGAAATATCATAACTTTTCCAATATTGTGCACTCACTACTCACTACTCTCTGGATTAATCAAAAACCCGATCGCTGACCTACAGTCAACGAATTGTTTGCGCGAAGAGCGATTAATTATCTTGAGATGGGGACGTATGCTTGACGATTCCTATAAAGAGAAGGAGAGATTCTATCTATTCTGTTCTACGCGTCCCCGGCGCCCCCTTTTGCTTTAAGCAACTGATTTGCCTCCTTTGTGGTAGAGCGTGTCAAAATTAACAGGACGGGGGCTTCGGCAATATGACGCCATATAAAAATAAAACCATAAGCGTAGCGAAGGGCACAAGACAAAAACATAAAAAGGAGACATAAGAGATAAGAGAGGAGAAAGAGGAGACAAGCTGGGGCAGAAAGGAAAAGAGCAAGTGGAGTGGGGTTGCACGTAAAAAAAAAGAAAGAAAGTCACTCGCTCATCTTGAGCAGCGATTTAAGCAACGCGAAACATTAGCCTTAAACAGAAAATTAACAGAAAAAATTAAGGTGTCTCTCTCTTATTATATAACTAGCTGCTCATTATGTAAATGAAGGGCCAGCAGCAAAAATCTGGCAAAAAAGCAGAGTACGTACGGGAACGACGAGGGCGTGATCGCTTTTGCTTTTTTCCCCCCTTCCCCCTTTAAAATCCTCAATTTAAACCCTTTGGATCCGAGAAGAGAGGCGAAGAAAATTCATGATCAGACATTCTCCGGCCGATGGGCAACGTTTCCTTTTCTTACGCCCCGCCCGCCGCCGCCGCCTCCCTCCTCCTCCAATAGAGATATTCGCCGTAATCGATACGGCTGCCAATTAGGAGGAAGGGGGAGCTGAGGCCGGTCAAGGATCACCGTGCTAAGGATCCCGGGAATCTCAGTCCAAGAGGCCAAAACTTTTGGAAAGCTTCAGGAATTGGCGGGAAAACAAGAAGATCGAAGGAAACGAAAAAAAAAAGCAAGCAGCAGGGCACTTCAACGGGCGGCGAACTTGCTAGAGGTTTCGCGGAATCCCAGCCGGAGCCTCGCTCGGACGGGGTCAGGCGGCGATCGTGCGATCTTGGACCGAGATTCTCCCTGGACGCTGGCCGGATTCCGTTCGATGAACCTAGGCTTTCGTTGGACATCCGATCCGTGCGTTCCCGATTTCATGCGCCCGTTCCGGCGATCCAGCGATCCGACGGTCAGATACCGGTCGAAGAGGATCTCATGGTCCCCGGCAGTTCTAAGCAAGCCAAAAACTACTACTATTATGATTCTTCTTCTAGAAGCCGGAGGCGGAGCTTGGACAGATCAAATTCAGTGAAGAAATTCAACCTTGAGATGAATGAACAAAAACCGGCGTCAAGCGGTAGAGTACTGTTGCCCGCAGTAAGAAGTGAATCCTTCAGACACTCGAGCTCGGATGCTTTCGTTGATGACCCGCCCGATAGCTTTAGAGGGAAGAAGTCGAGAAAATGGAGCATTTGGGGATTGATACACCGTCAGAGTACCAGCAGCAGCAGAGGAGGAGGAGGAGGAGACAATGTAGATTGTTTGCGGGCTAACGAGTACATTGACGGGTACAATTATAACGGGAGGGTTTCACGGAGTAATAGTGCTGTGAGCTTGAGGAGGAGTTGCGACTATGGCAATGGCGGGCTTGGGAGTATGAGGAAGAAGGGTTTAGGGTTAGAGAGGAATGGGAGTTTGAGGGATAATAACGGTTATCATTTGTTCACGCGGTCATAGTTGGCTTGTTGATCATCAACAGAATGGTATAGTCTAGCATTGGCTTATGAATGCATGTATGTATGTATGTGCTAAAACTTTTATCAGTACCGTCTCTTTCGAACAATCCCTACGTTTGATCGCTTGCGCTTTACTTATACTATGAGGTTAACGGGCTAGCTAGCGAGGGGAGGGATTTCTGTGACTCTTGAAGAAGCAAATTAATCTGCGAGGTTTGATCAGCTAGCCTCGGCTTAAATTTGTAGTTAGTAGTAACTGAGTTATAAAACTGCGTTGGTCAACCTGATCATAGGAACCACTCAGAGAAATTTCACCGGACAAAAATAAAAGCAGAATTTGCAGTCAGTTCCCAGTTTCAGATCAATTTTGTGTAAGCTCGCTCGTCGTTGTTTCCCTGCTGCACTATCAGGTGACATGCATACATGTTTTCTGATGGAACTGTTGTTTTATATATGTTCTGCGCTAATTTCTGTAGCAGTGCCTGTAAAGTTTGTTCCACACCATCAGTAATAATACGACTTGGGCCCATTATGTTTCAGTTCATAGTAACTTTAGTCCCTTCAGTCATCTTTCTGCAGCGATGGACAATCACCGGTGTCCTCGATGACTGTCCGCCGAACACAGCTACGGATCCGGTGCGCCTCATGCTGGAAATTATCACAGGCCTCATCCATCATCATATACATTAATGCAGTTTCTTATTGAATCTTAGAACCATTCGTTTGAACAAATTAAAGTTGTCTATATATGATCAGTTTTTTTTCCCCCTTTTTTTATTTTTCTTCTTTTCCTTCTGGGAATTGAAAGAGCTAGCTGTCCGTGTTGGGATGTCAACAGAACTTAGTGGCGTACATAATAATGATTCTTCTAATGGACTGTCTACTACCCCCGCGGGCCTGCTGCATGAAACCCTCACTTGAGCATGAGCCCTATATATCACGTTACGGTTCATGATTTAGCAATTAACACCACCTACGTCCCATGCTCACACAGACAAATAAAAATATTGAAGGGATCGATTCCATTGTGCTCGCCACGGGGTTTTAATTTATTTATTTATTATTTTGTTATGGCTTCATACATCATTCTTGTCTGGTAAATATCGCGTTGTTTGCTGGCTTTAGTTTACTTTTTGCAGGAATCCGGTGGCACCTAGTCATTTGAGATAATTGACTGCTTACTCAATGTGGTGTTTTTTTCTTCTTTTTCCCCCCCCTTTCTTTTCTCTCCGCACATGGTGCTTCCTAGCTAGAAGAATAAAATTCCCACACACGCATTAAAATAAGAATCCTTCTGTCTTGTACCTTCCGTGGATCCACAACACGCATCATTTTGATGCCCTTGAATCATTAGTTTTACATACGCTCAACTGTACGTATCTGCGATCCTGAGGCTTCTCCAGGAGTATGGGATGCTCGACGTACTGGCTGGCGACTAGCTAGTATTAGCACACCATATCTTGATGACTACTTGCAGTTCAATGTGAAGAGTATACTATCTCTCAGCGATAAGCCGCTCTCTCTCTCTTCTGTGTAAGTGTATACCAAGGGTATGTCGTTACACAAACTGCATGATCAACAGTACCATTTCCTAGTTTATACCACAGCACAAAAGACTAAAGGATGATATGCTGATTCGCGGTATCAACCTCTGAGTTTTACAGTAAAATAAGCAAAGTCGGAGAACAATCAGACACACATTAATACACTTAAAACTTCCCATAGCAACGAGATGCTTAACAAGTCCTGCCGTCCAAAAAGAGATCAACACAGGTTGCATTTACCAAACTGCTAAATTCTGAGTACTCCAGGTTTGGGTATTTCCAGCACGTACTCTCGCAGATTAAAACCGTGTGGATCAATCTCGTAGATTTTCAACATCTGTTGTTTCTCATTAATGCTAGTTTCTTGTAGGTCAGAGGTATGGGTTAAAACTCACAAAGTCGCACGGATGTAGAACCAAACGAACAACAACATAATTTCTCGCTATAAGCCACTAAAGGATATATATTATGCTGAGTCACCATATGAACACCCGAGTTGTTTTTCACCGAAATAAGCAAAGTCGAAGAATAATCCAGACACATGATAGAAAACATATTAACCGTCAAACTAACCATAGCAACAACCTCAACTAGTCCTAGCTTCCAAAATACAAGCAAACTGTCTGAACACGCAGACCTTCTACAATCAGGTAGCACACCATAAAGAGATCAACAGCTTGCAAATTACACAGACCTCACAGGAGAACTAGAAACAGCAAGGAATCGATTTTACTGAAGTTGAATGAGCTTCAAAACGAAGTTGAATGAGCTTGGTGAAGTTGATAAACATAAAGCTTGATTGGTAGCTAAGGGGTACTCTCAACAACAAGGAATCGATTTTACTGAAGTCTTTGCCCCTGTTGCATGCGTGGATACAGTAAGGATGATCATGGCACTTGCAGCATGCAGAGGATGGGACATCTTTCAGTTGGATGTCAAATCAGAGTTCCTTCGTGGACAATTGAGCGAGGACATGTACATTAAGCAACCAAAGGGGTATGTGAAGAAAGCGAAATAATACAAAGTTTACAAGCTACATAAAGCCTTGTATGGCCTAAGGCAAGCACCAAGAACCTGGTTCAGCTGCATATATAGAGTCTCATTTCGTGAGTGAAGGATTCCAAAAATGTCCAAATGAACAAACCTTGTTCATCAAAAGAAGCACTGGAGGTAAAATATTAATTGTTAGCATTTATGTTGATGATTTGATTTATATATACTGGTGATGACAAGGGGATAACAAGCGACATTATTTGCAATTTGGTACTTCAAACTTCCTACACTTCTTAATTTTGTTATCCCAAAGTTCTATGCATGTGTCTCTTTTATACTCCAATGTTGTACACTTGTTTTATTTATTTATTTGGTATTCCAAACTTTATTTCTCAGTACTTTGACACCCAAAGTTTGCATCTTGTTGAACTTTGATATCTTTAGGACTTGTTTGGATTTGGAGCGAGTGGAGGGGAGTTAAGAGAAACTAGGAGAAGTTAAGCTAAGGGAATGTGAGCTAACATATAAAACTTGTTTGGAAAATTAGTAAGGGGAATCAAGAGAAATTTATTTCACCCCGTTTGGAAAGTGTAATAAAGTGAAGAGAGGTGTAATAAAGTAAAGGGAATGGAAAAGAATATAAATAAAATGACATAAATACCATTACATGTTATTAAGTTATGTTATTGTTAGATCTTAATAGGGGGTAAATTGGTCTCTCTATAATTGCTTTGTTTTCCTCCCTTACCTTCACCCTGGTTGCACCCCAATTTGGGGGATAAGAAAACTGGGGTTTTCTCCCCTCATTTACCTTCCTTTCTCCCCCACTACCTAGACCAATTTTATTCCCAAATAAAGTTAAAGCTTACCATAACTTCCTCTGCCCCTTATTACCCTCAATCCAAACACACCCTTAAGGTTTGTTTTCGGCACTTTGATTCCCCAAAGTTTTGCGGTATCAAAGTGCTGGTAAGAAACTTTGGAACATCAAAGTAAAAAAAAGTTGTAATCTTAATGTCAAATGAAAACTTTAAGGTGCTGTTTGTCAAGAGGTCTGGAGAGAAAGGTTAATGAGAGGGATTGATTTGGTTATACCTTTACGAGCGATTAAAAATAAATTAATTTCGTTTGGATTAGATAGTTAGCATGAACAGTTATTTTTTTTAGCGTTTGACAAATAAAGAAGGGTTAAGTAGGTTAATTCCTCTCATTTTTCCTAAAATACCAATTTTAAGCTCCTTACAGAAAGTTCAAAAAAGCGCTAACAATTATTCTATTAACATTAATTTAACTAGAATTTGCATTCATCTAAACTAAAAAAAATTCTCATTTTTGTAATATTTAAATAAATTATGCAGAAAAGACTAGTAAAAAAATAGTGTTTAATTAAAAAAAACGTGACTTATCATTTTAGTACAAAATTATATATTAAAGAGGGTCATCGATCAAATAAAAATTTAATAGGTCTTTGATTTATTATTAATCTCAACAAAAAGTTGGTTAGTGAAGAACGATTTGCTTAAAATACTATATAAATTATTAATTTTGCTGAAACATAGATTATAGTAAATGTTTATCAAATCTAATTTGTTGCTATACTAAAAGTGTGTAGCATGTTAAAACTATTCTTATGAAAATGCCCTCCAATTTGTGTGTACAACAATTATCATGTTTTGTTAGATTTTCATAAACATATTTCAAATAAGTTTCATACAAATAAATGATTAATATTATGTTTTTATCATGTTGAATAAGAGCTCAAATGAAGATTATCTCAAGCCCAAAATATCTCTGATTGACGCCCAAAATAAGCCAACAGAAGCTCAGCTCAAAAGAACCCAAGAGAATTTTAGCAAAAATGGCAATAAGAAAGAACTAGGTATGTATACTAGTATTGATACTACTAACGATACTGGTATTGGTAAATGTATCGATGTAGGCTGAAATTGTGTTTCTTAGGGGCCAAGTTTGATCAGTTGGCTCATATTGGTTTACGTAATATATAAACAGGGGTAAAGAGTGAGAGTTTAAAATGTTAAAATTTTTGTATACTCTATTTTGAAGAGGAGACCTTTAATTAGGTCTTTCACTATTGTAAAACTTTAGTTTTGCAATAAAAATAAAATTTAATTTTCCTCTTGAATTTTCTTCTTTTTCTCTTGTGTTTGATGAAGATTTGCTTCAAGAGAATGTGAGTTTTTACTTTTTTTTTTTTTTTGCTTTTTATTTCTTTTTAGAAATGCATGTTTAAGATTTAATTTATTATAACAATTCATGCTAGGATTTTATGCTTTGTAATTTAGGACTTTTTCCTTTTTATTCTTGCTTTTTATGAGTAATATGAGTAGCTAAATTTTTTAGAATATCTAGGATGAGATGAAGCTTGTGGATCGATCCCGCACACGCCCACACACTTACGTGCACTTGATGCTCGGTTCTATGAGAGTGTGTTTGGCAACTCTCCTACTACCCAAGTTAGTGGAGGTAACCTAATTAATGGGTTGAATTATTGTTTGGGTAAATTGTACCAACTTCAAGCTTGATTTTTCTAGTTCAAATTGAAGTCCTTATTCTGAGTTAGGATTGAATCGCCCTCTACTTGGGTACTTGGGTCAAAACTAACCTTAGTTAAAATACGAACCAAGTTAGTGGAGACTAGCCAACCCTACACCTCTCTATTTGTCAAGTTGGCATAAACCAAGCTTACATTGGATTATTTTTCAACCGGGCCAGAATTGGTTTACGTATGGGGTGGACCAATTCTGGCATGGTTTATAGAGGTCATGGGCCATTTCTCGCCCAGCCCAAAAACACACTCAAGTTAGGCCTAGTCCCATGATTTGCTAAACAGGCCCGAATTGAAATCACCTTTTCGTCTCACATCGCGAAAGGCCATGGCCACATTAACATAAATGCCCAACAATAATTCCAATACTTTTTAGAGATGCGCTCCACATATTTTTATCCCGTACATTCATGATCTGAATATTAATTTAATCCCC